TATATATATATATATATATATATATATATATGTATATAATAACAGGCGATAAAGAAAATTGAATACAAAATATAAAAGTAATTTATAAAAACGCACTCTTATTCTCTCTACCACCAACAAACAAAAAGAAAACAAAGCATAAATGCACTTACATTCTTTTTTCGGCTCATAAAATACTGGCTCACTTTCCCAGCCAAAAATATTTGTTGCTCGACAAATGAATCCTTGAAATTAATACATATATCGATGTGTATGTACCAAAATAGAAATGGATATGTCAATTTATTTAACATTGTAGCAGGAAGTAAAAGTTTACTTTTGCATCCATCTAATAGGAGCCGAAGTACATATATAATATTCCAGTAATTATATTTTAAATTTTAAAATCTACAATTCTTAAAATACACCAAATTAAGTAAAATAATGAAACATCCACTAAACCATGCATGCCAAACCTTTTTTCTACATTAGTTTAGGGAAGATTTGATTTAGAAATGAAATTGATGTTTAATACCAATAATTTGAAATTAACATATATATACATTTTTTTTTTTTAACTCCGTATAAATATTCCCATTTTTGCCTGTCGTGTGTTTATCCTCAAACTTTATTAACCTTTCTTAAAGAAATAATTTAAAAAAGTAATAATTATAATAAAAAAAACGTCCGTGTGTTATACCTGTCTCAAACATTGTAGCGTGAACGGCAGCACTTGATGATATGGAACGTCTTATCTCTTTACCGCGGAGATCATACAAAACAATGACATCATTTGCGGTGTTATCGTTACTCTTACAAATACAGTTATCTTTGTTTCTTTTTCTCACGTCATTGCAATCTACAAGTGTCACGCTTGGTTTCTCTATCGTTTATATAAAAATACATATCCAAAATCATATATCACATTTATCAATTCACTAGTTAAAAACTTGACCAGACTTAAAAGAAACAAAATAAAAATAAAAATATAACTAAATATGTTGATTTACTAACCTAATGCTATCGATAAGTTATAGCTCATCCCATATTGGACATCTTTAGCAATGTTGGTGACATTTGGATACACAGTGATATTTATATCATACTTTCCTGGGCTTATACTTGAAGTAGGCAGCAATAAAGTGCACACACTTGAGAAATAAGTTGGTATACCTTGAATTGCCTCATTTTTTGATTCAACATATACCTTTTATTTTAGAAGAAAAATAATGTCATCATGTTGTACTATTTCAAACTAAGACTAAGTAATTCATCGCTAAAGCCAAGGAAAGATTGTTTTTTTGTTGTTTTTTTTTTAGAAAGTACTACTTTTAAAATAAGGTAACAGAAAAATAAGATTAAAACATTATGAGGCATACACATTTATTTGTTCAGATGTAGTGAAATAAAAACTTTAAACTTTTAACATTTCGATCTAAAAATATATTTTAGACATTGAATAATCAATTAACATTTCGGTATAGGCTCTTATTCTAAGACATGCGAAACAGTCGAATCATGACTACAGTTGCAATATAGCTTGTTTAGTGATGGCAATCGTAACTTTAAATTAAATGCAACGTACTTAAATGAATACAAGGTACATGACTGTACAGCTGCTATTTTGGCAAAAAAAAACTATCAAGATTTTAGTTTAAATGGTTTTAAAATATGTGTTGTTGATTTCTTTTATATGGGGATCAGCAAAATGTAAAGAATTGTTTAAACATAGAGTCGATAATATTGACACTATGAGGTAGAATTTTAAATATCTAAAAAGAGTGATACAAATTTTGTTTTGGATTTCTTTTACAGTGGAAAAATGTAAATGTATATTTGTGAGATAAAAAGAATAGAGTGGGGGTAAATGAGAGGCAGACCTACAAACAGAAACAAAGATAAATGAGTGAGAGATAGACAGACATACAGACAAAAAAAAAAAGATATATAGAGATAAAGAGAAGAGAGAGAGAAGAGTGATGGACAGAGATTAGATTTTGATTCAGCAAACTATTAATTGAAATCCGAGCACTATTTTTAAAATACTGTATTTGGTACTCACGTTTTGAAAGGTGTTATTAATATGAAAACTGCATATTCCTTGTGGATAAATTCTTTGCGCTGAACAAGCTAACATTACTCCAGTTTTTGATGTGTTTGATGCACATGAAAATCCTTTTGCCCTGGCTGTTTGTTAGAAAGTTAAAATCTAATTTTCTAAAATACATATACTTTTATAAAAACGTTAAAGTATATTATTTAGCACTTAAAAGATGCATACAGGTAACAAGCCTTTCTTTCACCCCTTAAAGTCAAATAGACCCACATTATTTTTATTTCATTAATTTATGAAAATATACTTACAGAAAACTGTTGCAGTGCAATTAAGCCTGTTTTCATGGGTGCGATCTGCAACCCGAGCTGAAAACCTTAGATCATTGGTAGAGGTTTTCCTAGATACACTCTTTATCGTAAGTGTTACTATTCTTTTTATATTAATTTCAGCCATGCTAAGGTTGTAACTGTCAGGTGAAGTGCAATGACATTTCTGATTCAATGCGAAACAATTTCCAATCTTTTCGTCATTGACTTCGATGCTAATGTTTGATGAAAAGTGGATGTTTTTTACATACACAAAATGTAATTGGTATTCCGTGAATTCCTCAGCAGGATTACATTGTGTATTGCTTTCGTCAACTAATAAAACAATTGAAAAATGTCCTTATATATTTTGTTAATTACAACAAAAAAGACCGCGTATATATTTTCGACAAAGAAAAACGTAATACTTTAAAATTGTTTTAATAGTGTCAAAGTTATTATCTTTACGTGCAATGCGTTTATCACTAATTCAATTAGCATGATATGCATTATATAGGCAAGGATCAATGTCTACTGAGTAATATTCTTTCATTTTATTTTATTATTTTAAATTAAACTTATAGAAAATGTACCTATTCTGCTTGCGTTTTAGATGCACGGGTCAAAAACTATTTTTATTAATTAATAGTCTCTTAAAAATGGTATTGTGAGCGAAATATTTAAAAAAAAAACAAAAAAAACATTTTAAATTGCCCAAAATGGGTCGACATAAAATGAATTTATCTTCAAATTTATGAGTTTCAGTTATGAGTTCAATTAACATAATTAAAAGAACCATATATTATACATGACACACTATTTTAGTAATGTAATATTGTAACGTACCAAAATTATAGCTGAATACACACATGACTTGACCGATGACGAAAACCAGCAGATTGATTTCAAGGACCATGATTTAATACCTGGAATTAATTTCGTGTACACACTTCTCTACATATATATATATATATATATATATGATTTTTAAAGAAGTACGACAACATAATTATCATGTGATTTATTTATACAATTTATTTTTCAATAGTTTTAAATTTTAAAATTTAACACTGAAATAATGAGTTCCTAGCATTTTTACAATTGAGTATCAAAGATTACTCCTTAACTACTACATTACAAATAATCATGTAAACAAAAGCCATGTTTAAGATAAAGAGGAAAAAAACACACACAAAGACCCTGGTAGCCTCAAGAAAATAAAGGAAATGAAATTAACCTACAAAAAACAACAACTTGCCTTTGATTTAAATTGTTCAGTTTGTAATACGCATGAAATGACTCATCAAACCCATTTAATAGAATTAGAAGTATCCTGTATAAAGATTCATTTCCTTCTACTGTTGTTTATATGTTCTTTATTTTAATACAACATACGTCACTAAATTTGTAAGATACTAATGCTGATATTTAGATCCCCATTAATACAAATTAAACCAGATTTACACTTGCTTTCGTAAATTGGCTTCATCATAACTTCTTAAATGCTTTACTTGTATTTTTACGAAATTTGGAATAAAAGCACACAATTTTTAGCAATACTTGGTGTCATAAGAAATCTAAATTTCATCTTTTCCACAGAGAATGGTGACAATGAATCTACAGATAACACACATAATGTGAGTCAATGTTAGCCATACTTATATTAGTCATGTTTACGTAGTTGTGTTGTGTGGATTAATTAGCTTTGATAAAATGTTTATAAATTTACTACATTTGTTCTATGGAATAATTCAATCAAGTTGATGAGCGATGTGATAATTGAATAGCTATTTATCCAAAGACTAGGTATTTTTACATTATCAACAGTAGATACAAATATAGATAATTATAATTTATGCTCGTAAAGACACACTATTTATACTTTTTAATTTACGATTTTAAATATGAAAAGCAGTTTATCAAGAGCACAAAAATGAAAGGGGCATGGAGTAATTATTTTCTTCTTCATGGAATAAATTTAAAAAAATATGTCTGTCACAGATCTAATACTCAGATATCAATTTCGTTTCGTAAAATAATGCATTGTTTTGTAAAATAGAAATAACAGGAGGTGAGGGAATTATGGGGTATAGAAGTAACGGTCAAATATGATTTTTGCAGGGATTCATATATTTGAAGCTGGCCATGTTCATTCTAAGTTATTGATCAATATCTTAATATTGATTTGTGAAGTGTACCGAAGAAGTTATAAATGTGAAACATATGTTTGCTATGATCTTGAGAGATATTATTTCATGTGATGTACTGTATTCAAGTATTGCATCACTATATCTTTATAAGTTATAAATCGTGTTTTACTATTAACTGTTAATGGAGGTCTGTGATTGAAGATTAAGTAATACACGTCAATCATTGCAAGTAACGTCATTATAATCCACACATACATATTATATATATATATATATATATATATATATACACACGGTGCCTTACAATGCCCAAAAAGTTCGTATTAAATTTTAATAATGTATATAAACAGAAAATATGTCAAAGAAACCTGATAAGATTACATTTAATTTTTTTATTGACCTTGCAAATTTATTTGTAAAATTCTATGCGCACTAACTAAAAGAAAAAGACAGTGAAAACATTAACATTGGTGAAAATAACGAAAGCAAGTAAATAAGATACTTTTGGAAATTATTTTAACAAACAAGTTGTTTACATTTTGTAACTTGTTGGTCCTATTACCCCGATAAATTTTAGAGAGAGAAAAAATATTGTTAAAGTTATGCATATATATATATATATATATATACTTATAATAAGCAACTGATACTTCTCATTGAATTTAAAAACGGTTCTGGAAATTGTCTGGAAATCATATATATATATATTTATACAAGTGTTTGTTTTGGTTTGTTCTTTGCTTTGTTTGTTCCACAAAGGCTTTCACGTGAATTGATGGAGCTAGACCAAACTTGGCACATATATCCATCATGAGCCAGAAAGAACTCTTAACGGGTTATGACATTTTTATAGCAATTGTTTTGGGGCCCGAGGGCCAAAAATGTCGTTTTTCTCTTAATAAGCTATTGTCACGTCTATAATTACTCACAGGCTATCACAATTTAAGTGTTTATCTATCAACAACAGAGGCATTGTGGATTCAAATGAAATATAGTGACTATCCTTTATTAATACGAAATCACAATAATAATCACAAATAGATCTGCCACCAAATTGATTGTGGGTCAGTGTCACTGTCACAGAGATAAGTTGAGTTAAGGGAGTTAAGAGAGGTGAGAATTAGGACTGATAATTTATGGAGTAGGAAACTTGGAAAAGACGGACCAATCAGAGAGGAGAGAAGATGGAGAGAGAATCATGGCGGTTGATATAAGTTTAAGTCCATGATATTAATATATCAATTAGTAAGATAAAGAATAGGTTATAAGTATGATAAGTATTCTTTATGTGTGATTATGATTACTTATTTGTGAGTGTTTATTTATAATAAATGATAGTCACTATCTTTCAATGAACTCCACAACGCCTCTGTTGTTGATAGACTGATAGATTGATAGTATCATTAGCATTGTGTGATCTGTGTGCACTGTATAATGTGAAAATAGACGTGACACAGGCCCACAATCGATTTGGTGGCAGCGGTGGGATTCGAACCCACGCCTCCGAAGAGACTGGTGTATATGAAGACCTCAAGGGAAAAAACGGCAGAGTCCATTTTTAATTTTTTTGAGTTATCACCCCTGACTTATAGCCAGTTAAAAATAGAAGGTGCTGAATTAAGTTTAAAGGAGAAAAAATGGCTAAGTCCATAAGAAAAATGGAAACGAAAAATCCGTTTACAATGGAAAAAGGAGCAGAGTCCAATGTTTACAATGGAAAAGGGGGCTAAGTCACTAATATCACGTGACAATTGAAGTCACGTGATTTAAAGGTCCAATGAGAGATAGCTATATTGTAAACAAAATTTAAAGATGGCGACCGATTCGCTCAGCTGACCGACAAACCGACGAAAAAGTTAACTGACAAACCTGAATTTTTT